GAAGGAAGGAAGGAAGGAAGGATAGATGTTTTGTCAGACATGTCCTGTCCTTGATATTCCCTGTAGTGGTTTCTTAACTCTGTCTAGTTCCTTGCTCTGGTTTGATAATGTGGTGTTCATAATGATATGTGATAAAACCAGAAGACACCTGGAAAAACTAGAATTGAAAATCTATTGATTCAGGTAGACAGCATCCTCCTGTAAATAACSACAGGAACAGGAAAGGACAGTTTCCTCCACTCACCAAATCTCTCAAGAAGTAAGTGCAAGCACAAAGGTCTGAAGATGGATCAGAGTAAAAACTTAAGTAAATTCTTTGCTTAAGCAAACTCCAAACAAGCAATATATGTTCATGGAAGTTGCTGACAATGATTTAATACACTAGCACAGTACCATGATGCAAACAGCAGAGATCTTGACCCTAATTCTGCTCAAGTCAAGGGTAATCATGAATCTGGCTTTCTGGGGCATTTTACTTAATTCCTTCAACCAACTGCTGCTTCTGCCCACAGGGCACACATCTCTTTAAGGTAGAATATCTGCTTGAGAAACAAGATGCAGTGATACCCTCATGTAACTTTGAACCAAGAGGTTCCTGAGCCCGCTTCTAAAGACTGATTTATTCTAGACCATGGGGAACAGTGCCAGGACATCTGTCTAAGCCTATAGCCAACAGGTATTTCTAGTTCATAAACTTTTTTAATGTGCTGCAGCTATACTGATGCACAAGTGAATTCTACATTACRTACATGAAACTACAACCCTAGGTCACATCTACTGAATCTGTTGCACACAAACCAATGGGCAGCAGTTATGCAGAGTTACATCAGTAAAAAAAAATCTGACATAATGCAGGGATACTCAACTCTCTCTTGGCAGTTCTACACAGAGAAAAATGTTAATGCTTCAACCTAAGATATCCAAGTATATTTTTTATTTTTGATAAAAACAACACAGACAGTTCATCACATTAAATGGCTTCCACTACCTCCATAAAACTGCATTTACAGAATTAAAATAGTTCAGAGACAAATAACATATTTTATAAATATGTATTTCAGAATTATACTGAGATTTTACCTGTAGAAATGATAATATATATCAGTTTTGTGAACAATATAGAAAAAGCACTACCTATTATTTTCTTTTCACATATATCACAGCAACTCTATGAATACCTGTTAGTCAAGAGACCTAAAGAAAACACTCTTTGCTGTTCACATAAAGCTGAAATTTGCTGAAATGTCACAATATTAGTTCTGCTCTTTTTCTGGCCAGAATGAAGTACATAGTAACCAAAACGCAACTGCTGCTCCCAAACACGTGCAGGAACTTAAAGCAAGGATCAAATCCTAAAGATTTGTATTCAGGACACTTAAGCCTTTTTCTGCTTTGTATCTTCATTTCATAAAACCCAAGACTGTGTGGAACTAAGTGTTTCATAAGAGYCAGTCTCTACAGGTTTAGCTTCACACATGCATGAAATGTATCAAAGTGTGACATAAATGCCTTTAGGCACTCCAAAAATTGTACTACATGCCTTAAAAGAAAATGTATTGGATCATTTATACAAAAGTATTAAATAGCTATTTTTTTCACAAAACAAATTATTTTGACACTGGTGATGTATGCAAAATTTTAGTAATAACGTTCACTACACTTACCTTTGTGACCAGAAATCATTTCACAGACAATAAAATTATACTAAACATGTAAACATACCTCAAAATTATCTAATGCTAAAACTCAGAAAGGAGTTCAGAGACTGATATTCTAAAATAACTACCTGCTCCAAAGRTTTTCTAACTTCAAAAGCCCTTCCATTATAAAAAGGTCACACTGACAGTGAGATCAGAATTTTTCCCTCTAACTACCCATCATTTTGAGAGTGAGGTTCCTRTGTACAATTAAATTCAAAGTCATGCAGCTTTGAAAATGGCTTATTATTAAGGACACTGTTTGCATTTCCTGTTTCAAGTGTTGTGAAATAACTCAGAAAACAGTGTAGGCTATCAGTCATCAGGAAAGCACGAAGGAGTGGAAGAAAAATGGCTATTGAGGGAAAGTGAACTGATGGTAAACTGCTGGTATTATCYATACAGGCTCCTTCACTGCTAATGCTGCTAGGCTTTTCAAGATAACTGATAAAAATGTGGTATCAACCTGTGAAGAGCTGGAACACCTACAAAAATTATACAGAACACTGCCTAGAGCCTGCTAACAAAACTAAGAACAGGACCTGAGATACCTCAAGCTGCAYGAACACTTTAATTCTCCAAGTATTGTTAAGTCCACATGAGCCACTTTCCAGAGTGATACCTAGGCTCCAGCCCTGACAGGAAAATGAAATATATTTTCAGTAAAATTATCACATTTCATCTGAGAACCTTGGATGGCTTGTGCCCACAACATGGGCGCAACTGCAATGTCCTACCKACATCCATTCTTGGCAATGATTAAGGAAGGCTTTTGCAAAGCTGCAGGGAAGTTTCATGTCATGAAGAGCTCCRTGAAAATAGTCCAGCAGAAGCTCTGCCAGCTTAGCGATCCAGCTGAGCCACATTCCTACTCCTGAACTACATGCCCTGAACCTCTTGAGTGATGGCTCTTTTGGTAGAAGTTATTCTCTTTAGAGTGCAATGTGAGAGCAGCAGTTGTGCTGCCCTAAAGCATTTCAACCAGCTGAAGGGGAGCCTTCCATCACAAGAACGAAGCAGCAGCCACTGCCGTATCTCACCCAAAACAGCAATTGCCATCAGTGGAACTGGAAAAACTTACTGCAAGAACTGGTGGGGCAGGACCCCTCAGAACTTTCCAGTGGCTTTCCTGCACTCCTGAAGTTACAACTTTTTTCCTATTTATTCCTGTAAAACACAACCAAATGAATGTTCAAAGGAAGTCAAGCCAAAAGGGCAGAGCAGAGCAGCATACACATATCAGTTTTTTTAAAAAGGTAAATATTCACAGAAAGGGTTTTAAAGTTCGAAATACATATATTTTTTTAAGTCCTACACAAAAGGTGGATGCAAGAAATGGGCTTGCATTTTTGTGTTGGATCTTGGTGGGGCCTTCAAAAATTGGCAGAACAGGGCCCAAAAAGGGCCTGAAATATACTAGCAGCCTGATCAACACTTCCTTACACCTACAGCAATGCAATAGCCAAAAGCATCACATTGTGGATTATCTGAAACCACATTTATCACTGTCAGCATTCAGARGCACATGTCTTATTAGGTAGCAATTTGCTGTACTTGTTTTTCACCACCTCAGGAAACAAAACAGCCTGAGGCTGGTGCCTACACATGGTCAGGTCTTGCCTCTACAATCCAAAGCAACAGCCGAACTCCACACTGTTTGCCGAAGACTCCATGGGCCTCCTGGTGTCAGCAGTAAAAGTGGCTTCCATCCTTTCCACACCCTGTACACAGCCTTGCTRTTGAGAAGATGGGGATTTACCAGCTCTGTTTCTGGCTTTGTCCTTCTTCAGGATGCCCATRTATTAGTGTGCCTCAGTACATTATGATTACCAGTTCTTGTCAAAAAGGGCATTACTGTCAGTTCTCCATCTAA